TTTTATTACTTTTTTGTTGTTGTGTGCGACGATAACAAAGCCGGTTATTTTGTGCTGCATTCACAGCATTTGTATATAATATACTAGAATTTAAAATTATCACGTAGATAAGAACCAATTTTGAATATTTAAATAAATATGTCGATTTGCATAAATTTCAGCGTTGTCGTGAGTTCATGAATTTGATGATTGTAAAAAATTTTAAAATTGTAAAAAATAATTTCATGTTTTAAATACATCCAAGGAAAACAAGGACAAGCTCTTAAAAAATGTAAATTTCGTATATTCGTATATTACTTTTCGTATACCGTCTAACTGTCAACGTTGTGTGGCTAGTTCCTATTGGTCTATTCCCGGTGACGTCATAAATTTAAAAAAATTAATAACTCGGGCAAATAAATAGACAAAAAAAAATTTTAAATGTAGCTCTATTTTGAACTCTATTATTCATAAAAAAAAAATCAAAATTTTTGAACGTGCCCCATTCTAAATACCCACTTTCTAACATAATTTTTGTGTACTACGAATAAAGTAAGGATAGGTACTTTAGTGACAAACAATTTTCATATTTTTTTTTATTCTCTCCCATAACGTAAGGAGTGCATTTTTTGTTTAAGTTATGCAGGGACTTTATTAAAAAATAAAAACTTTCAAAAAAATTCTAATGATAGTGTATTACATTTTTGACAATATTATCTTAAAAAAGAATAATATGTAACAACAAAATTAAATAATATATTATTAAACTATTTTAATTAAAAAACATATTTTTAACACAAACATTTTTCTATGAAGAAATAAGATTTAAAAGTAATTACAAATTAATAGAGCTAGGAATACAGGGTGGCTCACGCTCAACGGGACGGAGCTTTATGGGAAAACGACCAAAGATAAAAAAAGTTCGTTTGGGAGGAATACGTAGGTTACAGACGGCTACAATTTAAAATTTGTTAGATGTATACAGGATGTCCCACATAAGAGAAAATATACAAAGTTATATTATTTTTAATGGAACCCTGTTTTCTATTTTAGAATTAAAAACTACATCAAAAATAATGTCAGTTAACTAAAGGTTCCCTATTACTATTATTATTAGTTTTCGATTTATTTGAATTTTTAAGGAAAAAAAGTCTCCCAGAAATTAATTGTTTACTCTTGTTTGAATAATTTTTAATGAACTAATTTTTTTTTCTCATGTGGGACATCCTGTATACATCTAACAAATTTTAAATTGTAGCCGTCTGTAACCTACGTATTCCTCCCAAACGAATTTTTTATATCTTTGGTCGTTTTCCCATAAAGCTCCGTCCCGTTGAGCGTGAGCCACCCTGTATATACAAAACGCCATATTTTGCATATGTTGCATATATATACAATTTTTGATTTTGAATGCATATATTGACATTTTTTAAATTTTTTGGCATATATCTGACGTACTAATTGGCTAGACATATTAAAATTATGAGGTTTGGACTAAAACAATATTTTGTGAAATGCCTTTACAGGTCGATTTTCTAAAATTTTTAAGAGTTAACTTTTCCCTGTAATATATTACGGTTAATAGTGTAGGTACTTGAGAAGATTAAATTATAAACACTCTCCTGAAACCAACAAATTTTGCTAAATAGCCTTTCAGGTAGTTGTATTAATATCTTCAAATTTCTAAATGACTCAGTTTACTTTCAACTTCATTTCAGTCTTTATTGTTGTGTTGTGTTAACCAGTGGAAAAAATGGCAAAATTAATTGAGTCGTGGGAAAAATCTTAGTCAGATTTTGTTGTAGAAGGTGATAACCAGGTGTTTTGTAAAACATGTTCTAAAATTGTAAGTACTTTTTTATTTTATATTTTATTTTGACCTTTCACAATGGTAAATCAGTAAAATATTATTTCAACTCACAGTTAAAAAAAAAGTAGGGCAACTTTACAACGTACGCATTTATTTAATTTAAATAAAACTTCAACATCTACAGGAATTTATTTGTTTTAGATTCCATGTAAAAAAGTTTCAAATCGACCAACACGCGAAAACACCCTCACATATAGTAAAGCAGAAATCTAAAGACACTCGTAGACAAAGTCAATTTTCCTTGAAACAATATTTAGAATCTGGATCGTCCAGAAGTGAACAAGCTATTTTTAATGAAGATTTATGCAAAGCTTTAGTAACTTCGAATATCCCTTTAATACGATTAAATAATCCAAATCTCCGATCTTTTTGCAAAAATACTGTAAATTTAATATTTCAGAGCAAAGTATATTACGCGAACGTGGTGTTGACAGTTTGTACATTAAGACTCGTGAAAAAATTCGTGAGATTACCGTTGGAAACCATTTCTACATTATTGTGGATGAAACAACAGACTCTTGTGGTCGATATATAGCCCATTTAATAATAGGTTCATCACGCGAAGAAATGCAAATTGGTCCATATCTAATCGCTTCAAAGCAATTAGATAAAACAAATAATTTGACAATAACTCGTTTTATCCAGACATAATTGTCTTCCTTTTTTCTTCCGGAAGCCGTTCCAACAGAAAAATGATTATTGCTGTTATCCGATGCTGCCCCGTACATGGTAAAAGCCGCATAAAATTTAAAAATGTTTTATGAAAACTTAATCTATGTTACATGTTTGGCTCATGGCCTTAACAGAGTTGCAGAAGAAATTAGGTCTAACTTTCCTTTATAAAATGATTTAATTAGTAATGTAAAAAAAATATTTCTTAAAGAACTCAATTGTACAAAGAAAAATTTCCTGAATTACAGATGCCACCGGAACCTGTGATTACTCGGTGGGGTACCTGGCTTAAAGCTGCCTTTTTTACGCAGATAATTATGAAAAAATTAAAGAAATTATATTTGATTTTGATGATTCATATAAGGGAATATCTAATACAAAGAAGTTGTTTCAAAATCACATATTACCAAAGCAATTAGTGTTTTTAAAAAATTACGCATTTGTACCCAAAATTATATTAGATTTAGAACAAAAAGATTTACCTTTGGTGACTTCCGTAAATTTAATTAAGACGTTTGAATCAGAGTGTAAAAATATCCAGGGCGATATTGGAAAGACGATTTTTCATAAATTTTCAAATGTAATTTTAAAAAATGAAGGATATTGTTTAGAGACACCTTGCTAATATTTATTTTATTTATTCACGGGTAACCCCATTAAAAAAAAACAATATTAAGTAGAATAAAAACAGCAAAATAAATACTGAACTAAATACTAAACTAATACTAATATAGGTAATATGAAATACAATACAAAATATAAAATATAACGGCATCAAATAACAATTATAAAATCAGTTAGAAAATGAAGACATAAAATGTTAGACTTCCATATTATTTAAATAAGTACTGAGAGCATTAATAGTTCCAAAAATATCACAATTTTTACATTTTAACTTATTACATTCACGTAACATTCGACATACTGGTGAATTAAAAGCATAATTAGTGGTATGTAGTGGTATATTAAATAAGTCGAATTGTCTAGTCCTACTAAAGGTATTAAAATTAATAAGACCTGGTGTATACTATGCATAAAGATGCATTTTTTGATGTACAAATTTGTTTTCTACCAGTGACGTCCATACCTACGGGGTTTGTATTGAATATTTTTGCAGAAAAAAATAGTAAGCCACTGCTTCATCTTAAAACAAAAATTATTTTTGAAATCCTCATTTATTTTTAAACAAATTTAGTCTCTTGAGTTTTTTCGTTCGATGCATAGTTTACTTTAAAAAATAAAATCCGTTTTATTTCAGAGTCAAATTGCCAAAATGTACAATTGTACATACATGCGATTTATGCGCATCTCGTGCGTCGCAACTCGGGCGGAATCCTTAATTTTTCGCATTTCGGGCGGAAGACTACAGGTACATTAAATACCCTTCGCAACTCGGGCGTTCAAGGATCGGTACCTGAGAAGGTGCTTTCGGCTTAAACTTAAAATTATATACGGAGTGCCGTACAGGAGGAGCTTGCCAGTTTTTAAATATTATGTAACTTTCATAAAACAAGATTTTTTATTTATCTTTCTCTGCGAACATAATCTTTACATTACATTGTTATGACATTTGAAATTGTAGTTTTTACTGAAAAAAGTGTAATTTATTTATTATATAATTAGATTGATAAATAATAGTGTACCTACCTCGGCTAGCTATTCAATTTTTATTTTAATACATTTTTTATGTAGGGTGTCTGTGTAAGTTGGCTACATATGGAAAACTTTTTTTTTATTAGTTGTATCAAAAAAAAATTATTTAGCATAAAGAGTTGTGGATGGTCTAAAACCTAAAATACATCACATTTTTGAGCCGTATACTAGGACAGTATATGGAAAACTTTTTTTTATTAATAATTTTATGAAAAAAATGTCCTCATAAAAAATTGTGCGTGATCTCAGACCTTAAAATACAACCATCATATATCAAATTGTATAAGTCGTATACGAGGTTTGTCAAAAATGAATGTACTTTACTCTTGGCCAAAAATATTTTTTTTGACAAATCGTATACGACTCATAAAAATTGATATCTAATGGGTGCATATAAGGTTTTAGACCATGCTAAATTTTTTGGTAAAACTAATAACAAAAAAGTTTTCCATATGTAGCCAACTTACGTAATCTAATGTTTTTAATATATAATTTTATTTTAATTATATAATTTAAACTGTAATTCATTCAAATTGATTTTCTCTCTTTTTTTCTGTTTTTTCCTTTTTGTATTTATTTCAAAGCATTTAATACAATAAACTTGAGTTTAATAGCTTTTGTTTTATTAGGCATAAATAAAAAGAATGAAATTTAATTATTAAAATTTTATTTATTTGCATAAAGTCACATCAAAAATTAATCGAACCTTACAACATGTCTTAAAATTGTCTACATTTTGGCAGTCGTTGTATTCCCAGTTTCTTGTGTCTTTGTCTGTACAATGTATCTTTAATAGACATAAATGCCGGTATTTCGGTAACAAAATCTAGCCCAGCATCTTGTACGTTCATCAGCTCTTGTCTAAAAATTTGTGGCACTGGAGTCATTTCTTCACGGGCACGTTTCTTTGCTCTGAATAGACTTGCTTCCACTTCATTTTTGGCTACACTAGGGACACAGGAATGCGGTCTCTCCGATAAAACATTTAAACTTTTACTTGTAGTTAAGGAACCTGGACACGGTCGCTTTATGCAGATCCATCGGTTAGTAGAGTTTTTATTTCGACACTTTAGTGAATACTTGTAGTAACCACAATATAAAATGGAATTCTGGCAACGTTGAGTTTCCACCACTTGAACTTCCATCGTTTTTCAAAATAAAATTTAGTAGCTAATCACAATCACTTCAAAAATCTCAATGAAAACAAATAATAATTATTTCATTATTTATAGTAGGTAAAAGTAAGATAACAAGACGTCTTCTTGGTATTCAAAAAGCTTACGGTGCTGTTAATAAGACCTGTCAAATCCTTTTAATTTGATGTATTAAGACAAAGGTTTAAGGGGTTTCAATTAGGGTATTTATCCTTTTTATTGCTTAAAGTTAGAAACAATCGATTTTATAACACAAGATTATTTTTAAAATGCGTCATTAAAATATTATACTTTATATAATTTGGATCTTAATTGGTACTTAAAAAAATTTTGGAGTGGTAATTATTTCAATTAATATCCGTTTTAGGTTAAAGGGGTTCAATCAGGGTATTTATCCCTTTTTACTTTCCCGTATGTATTCAGATAAGGAAAGTACCTATAGGAATCATGATTTTTTTCGGCCTCGAGTTTTCGACTGATTTTTACCTTTTGGTGGACCTCTGAATCCAATTTAACTATTTTCGTGATGATGTCTGTGTGTCTATATTCATGATAACTTTAAAACGGATAAAAAGAAAAACACTATATTTTAAACGTTGTTATATCGGGACATTTTAACGTTTAGTTTATTTTTTAAACTAAATATATACGTTATTTGAATATTAATTATTTAACTATATTTTAATATTATATTTAAACGTTGTTATGTAACTAAAAGTTAATCATTTTGTTAAATATATATAACATGTAAAATATTATTGTATTTCAACCTTTTTAACGTTTGGTTAATGATGTAAACCAAATATCTACGTTATTTTAATATTAATTATTCTAGTTTATTTTAATATTCTTTTTAAATGTTATTATGTAATTGTGGTTCAACCGAAAGTTGGATATTAAGATACATACACGTTTAATATTAACGTTTCTTTAAATTACATAAAACTCGTAATAAAAACGTTATTGTATCGAAACACTTTGACGTTTTGTTTATATTTTACCTAAAAATATTAATTATTCTACTTTATTGCAATCATATTTTTAAACATTTTCATTGATTATACTTGAAATATTAAGTTGGTTTATGTTTGTTATGTTGTAAATGGCCAAGATTTTAAAATTTTCTCATTTGTAAGAAGATAAAGAAGATGGGTTATGTTGTAGTCATTTTATTTTAATTACTATAATTTTATATTAGAGAAAACCATATGTTCTAAATAATTGGAAGTTTGCGTCTGTTGTTTGATACATTTCTGAAATATCAGTATGTTATATTTCTGATAGGTTTCAAATTATTATTTATAAAATATATGAAATATTACATTTACAGGATATTTTTACAATTTAGGAATGTTTTAGAAATGTTTCTGAGGCGTTTCGTAATATTTATACATTATTTTATCATATTCATGATTTCCTTAAAATGGTCCGTATTCGAGAATTTTGACAAAAAGTGCAAAATTCGAATTTTAAAGAAAATTCTTCAAATAAAAGTTGCTTACAATGTAATTCTCTATAATTTTTGTTCCATACATTTCTCTAAAATAGACCGAATTCGGGAAATTTGAAGTAAAGTGCAAAATTCGAATTTTTCTCATTTTCACTTATAATACCCCTAGTGACCAAATTATTTTCGGAAATATTTTAGAAATCGCCAATAATTTGAAAATGATCCCAATATCATGCTCTATATTTTTTATTCTACACATTATTTCTCTAAAATAAACCGTAATGGAAAAATCTTCAATTTTTTTACATCAACTAACTTTTCAATGCTCGCTATCTGTTAAAATCAAAGCTTGTTCTGCGATGTCATTTATTTCTCTTAAATTTTCGATAATGCATTACTACCTGAATCAGATTGTAATCAGAATCAGGGTACATAAACTATTGTCAAATTTCATATCCCGTCGACGCCCGAGTTGCGAACTCACAGGTGCACAATTTTGGAGGGCGCCCGAGATGCGACGAATTCAGGTAGTTTTATATTACGCCCGAGTTGCGAACGCACGAGTTGAGAAAGTACCATACATGCATAGCAAGCCTTGCAAACAACCGAGAGGTTTCCATGGTAGCGGAATCAGTCATGACAGTTTATTTAAAAAAAAAGATCATGGTTTTTGTCATTTAACAATGTATGTATGTAATAATTTATTGACTATTATTGTGTTCAAAATGTACGAATATACCAATGCAGAAATGTCAGACATTCATTTCGTCTACGGAATGGCTCACGGTAATGCACAAGCTGCAAAAAGAATGTATCAAGCCCGATTTCCTCAACGGGTGGTTCCACATGTCCAAACTTTCATTAATATTCACGTAAGACTTTGTGAAACTGGCAGCTTTAAAAGAACAATTGATATCCCAGGAAGGCCTGCGACAGTTCGAACAGTTGAAATTGAAGAAGCTGTCTTAAATAGAATTGAAGAAGACTCGCAAACTAGTACAAGGAATATTGAATATTACGCATACAATTGTGTGGAAAATTTTAAAATCTCAACTACTTTATCCTTATCATATTCAACGTGTACAGGCATTACTACCTAGAGATTTTCCCCTCAGAGTAGATTTCTGCGTTTGGCTGCGAAATAAATTATTAACAACCCCGGATTTCTTAGGCCATGTACTTACTTGTTATAGAGGAAGCTTCTTTTTCTCGAAACGCCATCATGAACTTCCACAACAACCATATCTAGTCTGAGGATAATCCCAATGCTATCATAGAAAATAATTTCCAAGATCGTTTTTCTCTAAATATTTGGGTCGGAATTATCGGGGATCACCTTATTGGACCTTGCATTCTTCCACAAAGGCTAAATGGCGAAGAGTAAGGAAGATTTTTGGAGCACGAGCTTTTTGAACATTTAGAAGAAATTGATTTGGCTACCAGAAACAGGATGTGGTTCATGCACGATGGCGCACCGGCACATTTTTGTTTGGCTGCAGGTCAATTTCTGAACGAGAATTATCCTAATCGTTGGATAGGAAGAGCGGGACCGCAAGCCTGGCCTCCCAGATCACCAGGTTTAAATCCTCTGGATTTTTTTCTGTGGGGTCACTTAAAGACACTAGTTTACAAAACATCCGTGTAAAATGAGCAAGATCTAAGAAACAGGATATTTGAATCGTGTGCCATTATTAAACAGACACCAGGTATATTTGAAAGAGTACGTCAATCAATGTTAAGGCGAATTAACGCATGCGTTGCAGTAGGCGGCGGGAATTTTCAGCAATTGTTGTAAATGTTATTAATTTATTTGTAAAAGTAGTCTAGTTTTAGTCTGTAAATAATCTAAGTTTATCACATAACAATATTGATCAATAAAAGACACATTTTTCACTTGTTCCATGCAGAATACTATGCGTCGGACGAAAACTATGCGTCGGAAAAAAAAACTCATCAGATTAAATTTGCTTAAAACTAAATGAGGATTGCAAAAATATTTGTTATTTTAAGATGAAGCAGTGGCGTACTATTTTTTTCGGCAAAAATATTTAATACGAAACCCGTACGAGCGCCACTGATGGAAATAATAAAATAATTTGTACATTAAAAAATGCATCATAATGCGTAGGAGACGTGTACCAAATTTCGTAAAAATATCTGCAATATTCTTAGTTATTAGAAAAAAAAAATTTTTTTCTGAAAACTTTACTACCCTGTAGCTCAAAAGTTAAGAGGTTTAGGACATGTGTTCATATGAACGTTTTGCCTTAAAATAAGTCAAAGATTCACCATTTAAAGTTTGTACAAGTACTTAATAAACACCCTGTATATGCGCATATTTAACTACTTTTTGGGTGTATATATTCCTAGGTCTATTAATTACTTATTTAATTTTTGTACCTCTTCGGAAAGGTCTTTAGGTATGAAAATCCTTAATCCCTAATACGGATAAAACTTAATGTCTCTTAATGGTCATGGCAGAGTTCGGACTATTCACTAATCCCTAAGTTGTTAAAATTCAGGTAAAATTTTAATTTGTGGCAGAATTCGGATGCACCCAAAGATGCACTTAAGACTCGCTTTTTATATTTGTGACTTTTTTTTGGATTCTAAATTTAATTTATATTTTAAAACTTATAATAATTATTCACTTGTATTGCTTGATATAGATATCTAAGTACCTTGCACTTAATTCGTAGCATAGTTTTAAAGTTAAACTTCTTTTTTTGATTAATTAATCATTCTTTGTATATTTTTAGTGGACACTGTTCTGGGTTTGTCCTGTTTGTGTCCCAAATAAATAATTAAATAAACCATGGGTGGTTCCATTTCAGTTAGTTCATACTGTATACAATGTTTTAATATTATATTTCATACAGTAACTTCCAGTAATTCAAAATAAAATAATAAATAAACAATAACAATACAAAGGAATCCAAACAAATAAAAAAAACCGAAGGTAAAACATTTCTCAGTGTAGATTTGAACTTGGACTCACCTTAGGTTTGCACTAAATCTGTTAATACTGATCGTACACTAGACGAAAACTCTCGCGACAACAAACGTGTATCCAACCGTCGACGGTCGTCTGCTCTCATACACTTAACAATTGAAATTACATCGAAATAATAATAATCCTTGTATATTTATACTAGATGGGATGTTGCGATACCAACCACGTCATTCCAACACTAATTGCGAGCACTTTATTATTCGTCGAAATGAAATAGTAGCGGTTGCATTGTGGCTGTTCAATGATACCGATAAGATAAATATGGAGAAGTTTCTTTTCTAGTCTACGGTTTTTTTATCAGTAGAGGGCAGAGATCAACAATTCAGTTGCTTGGAAGGTATATTGATCGATATACGCAAAATAATTAATTGTGCTCGAAAATTTGGAACGAGAATTATTCCCAAAGAGCCATTGGAAAAAATTTGGTTTCGAAACATACATTTTTAAAAAGACAAGTTTATTAGGCTGATTAAAAAAATAATTAATTTTTTTTTTCGAAATCCTCATGTTCGAGAAGGTGTTAAAAGATACCTGTGAAAACGAGAGCCCTTTAAATTAATATTAAGAGGTCGCGAATCGCAGATTTCTATTTCCCATTTAAATAACAGGGAAAATTGTTTTTTTTTAATTTTGGAATTTTGTAACTCTAAAGCGGTTAAATGGATTGTCAAACCAAACATTATTCTTATAGGAAGTTTGACGCTCTACAAAAAAGTCTTTGGAAATTTTTTGATTATCCTAGCCATATAAAAGTGATTTGAGGTCAAAGTTAAAATTACAATAAAATTCCATTTATTAATATTGTTAATTTTTTTTAAAAACTTTGCTTCTTATGGTCACTTTTTTCCATAGTTACATTTATAAATAGTTAAAGACATCAGTTATGAATTATCAGTTTTAGATTTCCAATTAATAGTATTCTTAAAGCCAGACTATGTTAAGGTTTTTTTATTACAGTCCGGAAAACGACGACGATGTTCTTTAACCACTTGCAAAAGATACTGTAATTGTTCTTCGTTCTTAGTTAAACAGTTGTTGTAATCTTCAATCAAAACGATACCACGTTCTGCTACATCATTAACCACAGAAAGTTGTTTAAAAAAATCTAAATTCTCTTTATAACTTTCATTGTTAGGCCACAGCGATACATCTACTTCTAGAAAATCACATGGTAAATCAAACGTTTCGAAAAGTTTGAGTGAATTTGTTTAAACAAATTCACTCAAATCTTTGTTTGAAAATGACAATAAATCAAGTTCTTTAGCGACGTATCGTTTCTCTCTGATAATGTTACTCTGCTCATTTTGATTGCTCTACACATTTTTCTTTTCATTTCATCTGAGACATTGTTATCAAATAATGCGAGTGCTGCTAGTTCTTCATCCAAGTATCATAGATGAGCACTCAATTTTTTAAAGCTTTTTGTAGTACTGGCAATTGAATTTATGGGCAAGAAAGTAACTTCTTCAACAGTTGCAGATCATTATTCGGCGCTTGGATTGCCATAGAACAAGTAAACCATACTTTGACGTAAATTAAAATAATAAAAGTACATATTTGACGCAAGCTATCAATTTCTCGTTTAGAAAGTAAAAATTGACCTCTGAACATGAAGATTTTTAAGCTGTAAATCGCTTTAGCCATCCATCGTGCATGATGCATTGCTCCTGGGCATTTAAAACTTGCTGTACCATCAAGAAAAATCAATGATAAGTCGAGAAGTTCCTTGTAATCATTTCTTGGCTGAGCAACCTGTTTAATAAAAAATTCGTTAATTGAAATCATCAAACGCAAATTTTCAACTATTTCGAGCACAAAATAATAATATACCTTTAATAAATTATTAATTAGGTTAATCAATTCAAGTCTGTTCGTTAAAAATGTATTTGCAATTAATTCATCTTGCATGCCACTTTGGTACTTCGATTGATCGATTTCGCTCCAAAAATTTTTGAAACGTCCAAAAATAGGAACGTTAGGACTAGAAGTTGTCGACCAGAAAACTTCAAAAACTCCTTTCAAAATAATTTCAAAAATATGGTGGCAACAAGGTAACCAAATTAGTTTCCGATTCAATTTTTTTTCAATCAACGCAGCTGTACCATTTAGTATTCCTATAAATTAAGTGTAAATGTCTGGATTATAGATAAGTCCAATAAATTAGACCAAAAAAAATAATGTCAACTATTAATTAATTTTCAATCATTTGAATAAGATAACAAAACAAACCATACCAGTATTAACTGCTGGAGTGTCAAAGCACATTGCCTTGATGTTAGAAGTAACTTTCCACTCTTCCAATGTATTTAATATTGCTACAAAATGATTTTCTGCAGTTCCATCAGATATTTTTGGTACACCGAGGAGTTGATTAACATTCGAAGTAGATAATATGATTGCAATTCTATCTACAGTTTCAGAACCGGCCAAATCAGCTAGAAGCTTGCCATCCCAATGAACAGTGTAACGATATTCAGCTTTGAACTCATTTTTTAGGTGTTCACCGATAGTTTTTCTAAACTCTATACGATCTCGTCGAATAGTACTATAGCTTAAGTTTAATGTTTCTATATTTATTACAATGCTTTGGTAAGCAGCAGCTAAAACAAAAGTAGCATTTCGGTTACTAACGTTTGCTCTATCAAGGGCAGATACAAGTTCAGGAGTCATAACATCAATTTTGGGAGGCGGATTGAGCTGACTGAAAGGAGGTTCATAGTCAGAAACGATTGCTGATTTCTGACTACCAAATGTTGTTTCTGTATCAGTTGACGATAGGACACGTACCAGAGCACCACTACCTGAACTTGATTATCAAATGTAGGGCTGATCAATATCTGTGGAAATAATATACAGGGTGGCTCACGCTCAACGGGACGGAGCTTTATGGGAAAACGACCAAAGATATAAAAAATTCCTTTGGGAGGAATACGTAGGTTACAGACGGCTACAATTTAAAATTTGTTAGATGTATACAGGATGTCCCACATAAGAAAAAAAAATTAGTTCATTAAAAATTATTCAAACAAGAGTAAACAATTAATTTCTGGGAGACTTTTTTTCCTTAAAAATTCAAATAAATCGAAAACTAATAATAATAGTAATAGGGAACCTTTAGTTAACTGACATTATTTTTAATGTAGTTTTTAATTCTAAAATAAAAAACAGGGTGTTCCATTAAAAATAATATAACTTTGTATATTTTTTCTAATGTGGGACATCCTGTATACATCTAACAAATTTTAAATTGTAGCCGTCTGTAACCTACGTATTCCTCCCAAACGAATTTTTTATATCTGTGGTCGTTTTCCCATAAAGCTCCGTCCCGTTGAGCGTGAGCCACCCTGTATATACAGGGTTGGCCAAACCTCTGTCGTAGTTCTATAACTCCTACTATGCAAATCTTAACGATTTATTTGATGTATACCTGTCAATGGTGGCCAATACCAAATATCCCAAAATTATTTTCTTGTGTACAGGGTGGCCCAATAGTAAATTAGGCAAATCACTTAATTTTTTTTAAATGGAATGACCCAACTTTTTTTACAATTTTAGGTACTCTATGGTCACTAGTATATACCCACAAAATATTGTTTCTAACATCCCACCCCTTTCGCAGAAAAAAAAATTACCAAAAAATATTACATTTTCAGACGCCTATTAAAATATGCAGTGCTCTCTCGAATTTGATGTTAGAATTTAAAAAACTACGATTGTATAAAGCCAATAAACCAAAGATTTTTTTGGACCAAGTTTGAATTTTTTATTTTGTACAGGGTGGTCACAAATTAATTTCACTTTCCAAAAATTTCGAGGGAAATTTTTTTAAATTTTTCAAATGTATTACCCTGTATTTCTATTCATCAACTGAAGGAGAATTTTATACCCTTCCACTTCCCTATGTACTTTCCTATACCTATCTGTCGCCGTTATAAAATAAATTCAAAAGGAAGAAAATTACGATAATAAAATTTATTTGAAATTTATCCTAAAACATAAATTTACATTTTATAAAAGATGCTCAAAATGTCTACCATTTTTTCTAATGCATACATTTATTCGTTGGGCGAATGATCGAAAAACGTTTCTAAGCATATCAGGTGTAATGGAATGGAAAGCTTGCACTATCCTTTCTTTCATATTTTCAGGTGTTGTAGGTGGCGTAAGATAGACTAGATTGTTAATATAACCCCACAAAAAATAATCGGGTTTTGTTAAGTCAGGTGATCGAGCTGGCCATTTTTTTGGACCATTTCTACCAATCTATTTGGAAACTTTTCATCTAATTCATCTGCCACTTCGCGTAAAAACTGCGCTGCTGCCCCATCATGTTGGTACCACATTGTTAGTCTTACAGCAAGGGAAATGTTTTCAAGTAAAGTAGGAAGATGATTTGCTAAAAAATCTAAATACATCAGACCATTTAAGTTGCCTTCAAAAAAATACGGCCCAATAACATGATCCCCAATTATACCTCCCCAAACATTTACACTCCATCTTTCTTGGCTATGTGTTCTGATGATGTTAGAATTTTCCGTGGAATAATAGTGGAAATTATGTCTATTAACGAATCCGTTCTTCTGGAATGTAGATTCATTAGAAAACAGCACTCTATAAAAAAAAAATAGATTTTGTTGCAGTTTAGTTTGTGCCCAGTTACAAAACACCATTCTATTATCAAAATCGGTGTCTTTCAGCTCTTGATGCAATTGTATTTTATAAGGATGATATTGATGCTGTTTTAAAATCCTTCTAACGGATGTTCTACTTATACCTACTACTTCGGCAATCTTTTTTTGACTTACATGAGGATCTTCTATCGCTGTCAAAATTACAGATAATTGGTTATCATTATCAGTAGCACGTTTGTCAATTATTGGTTTTTTATAAGTAACATTTCCTGTTTCGGTAAATCTTTCATGTAACTTTTCAAAACTTTTTTGATCAGGGATGCGTCTATCGGGATATCGTTGATGATAAATTCTTTTTGCCAATAAACAATTTCTGTCGGATTCTCCCAAAACATAGACCATGTCAATTAATTCGTTTTTCGTAAAATTCATTATTAATAGAAGAATTATCGCGATCAGTAAAAATAACTTGACACTTCATTAATAAATAATCTGACACTTCATTAAGACCCAGCCTAGTTGATTGAATGTTCACTTTCAATAAAACCACTGGTAGAAATTGGATTTTTGATAGATCAATGTCTTTTTAGAATTTACTTTTAAACGACGACAGATAGGTATAGGAAAGTACATGGGGAAGTCGAA